GCCTCTTATATGATTGGCAAATGACACATGTGACAACTCATAATGAGATGCACTTATATTCTCATTCAATTGGATGGTTTTAAGCACATACATAGCCAAGTTTACTTTGAATCCAATATAGATTGACCAAGTCTAGAAAGTTATTTAAATGGTGGTGCATTGTAACAAGCACTTACATTTTGGTTTTAACTATAGAAGGGATGATAATGAACCATAACTATGTGTCTCCACTTTGCCATGCAAATGAAGAAGATTGATTGTTGATTTGGTGTTTTTTTTTTGTTAAGAATTTATTACAATCTAACAATATAAATCTAACACATTGACTTGTAGAGGTGATTTAGATCTAACTGAAACTCGTTCCAAGATTGTCTCAGGTTTTGTTTGTAGTTTTTAGGTGTTGACTATGTAAGATTAGGTTAAGAACATTTTAGATAAATGCCCTTTGATGATCAAATCAATTTTCGAGATTAGAATGTTGAAAACTAGTTAAACCGATTGGACTAGTTAGAATAACTAGTGAGATAAAAAAAGAAAGAGTATGTGCATATGTTGAGTGCGTACCTCAAGATCTTTTTTATATGTGGTTTAGAAATAGTTATGTGCAAGATCGGAAGTGACGAGAGGGGATCATGCGATGTTTTGAATGAGAGTATGACATGATATTCGTATCTCTCGAAGTTCATGTCATTTGCATGCATCCATCACAAGGTTGGATGATCAAACATTCAACCACATACGACATGTAGTGATCATGTGTCCTTAGATTTGATCAACCCTTGTCGATCATATTTGATTAATAAGTTTCTCGGATGGTTGATATGTCGATCACGTGTTAAAATGTTTTAACTTTTGATGTAAAACTAAACTGGAGTAGCAAACTAAATCTTTGATTTAGATGATGTTGTCTATGATATCATACATTTCACGTCAACTCATTTGCTAAGCTTGTACGCAACTAATTACAGCCAAAAATTGGATAAGATGGACATCATTTTATTTCTCGAGTGGGGTGCAACAAAT